GGAATCTCAGGCCTTGCAGTAACACAGGCTGTCACAGCTCCCTAGAGAAAAACCAAAGAGATTAGTATTTCCAAGAGACCAAATACAAGAAGATAACTTGCCACATTAACTTAAATATTTCATGATTCCTAAACCTGGACCTCTTGATACCTACCTAGACCAAAATATGTTATTGCCTATGGTTCTCATCTTAGAGTGGAAAGAGAGAAGGCAACTTGTAGGATTTTTGTACTGCCCTAGGCACCCACCATGTAATTGGACTATGCCACTAATGTGTCAAATAATCTGTTTACAGAAATCACTGCACAGTCAGATGCTAGTGAAATTCGACAGGACTGGAAACCTACATTCCTTAGTAATGAAGAGTTTACACAATTAATGTTAGAGGTATGTCCAGATTTAATTTTTGGAAAGTTTTATTTTTCTCAAAAAATAATTCATAAGGGTAACATTTTAATATAATTTTAACAATATTTAATGTTGAAAAGTTTTAATTCAGTGTAAAGCAGTAAACTATATCTTCAGTTAAAATTAATCGATGTAAATATTGCAAGCAAATAGTACTATGTGGTAAATGAATGCCAAATTTTCTTATTTTTAGTATTATCTGAATTTTTGAGAGGTTTAATAAAAGTCAGAAAACTATAGCTACCAAGTTCTTTACCTGAGACCACACTACCAAAATTCAAATGACTAATATATATTATTCATCACATATTAAATACTATTATGAAGTGTATCCTCTTGGACAATAGGATTTTTTAAATACATGAAAACCTACCTAAAAACAACATAAAATGATAATAAATAGGTTGAAAATATAAAACAAATAAAATATACATTGAAAGGCAACTCTTAATTTAAGTAGAAACTTTTGAAAGGAAATCGTAAATGTTCTTCTGCGACAAACTTATTTTTGAAAACAGCATATTTGCTTATAATTGCAAAATTTCATACTTCATATAGTAATTATAAAATCCACAAAAATCGCTCATACCTATCAAACTTTTATACTTCTAATTGTTTCCTATGTAGGATAATATACATATCATCTGTTCACACAAAGTACAGAGTTCAGTATCAAGTTTCTTTGAAAACTTACAGTAAGTAGAAAACTTGGCAGTAACAGTTAAGGACAAGAAAAACAGATACATAGCCGAAAGTAGACATGGAGTAGAAGAAAGCAATTGGGGTGGGGCTGAAGATTTTGTTATATAATGTACACCTTTCATCCTTTTTGTTCGAGTCTATTTTTTAAGCATTTATCTGTGTTGTGTATGTATATGTAATGGACATGTCTCAAGTGTCTTTTATGTTGACTAAAGTCTGAAGTAACAGTATATGCAAATATATGAGTTTTTTCCATTTATACTTTGGATGGAACAGTTAATTGTTAGATTAATTCTTTATAGAGCAGATATGTTACCATATTAAATGTTACTATATACAAATGTGTTGGAATATAAATATGTTGTATATATTTAAACATATACTTAAAATCTGAAAAATAACTGAGCATGTTTCACATATTAACTCAGTAAATCCCAGTAATCTTATGAAGTAGACACTATTAGTATCCTGTTCTTATTTCCAGAGGAGGAAGTCAAGGAACAAAGGTATTATGAAATTTGACTAAAGTAATCCCAGTAACTTAGCTGGGATTCATTGCAGGTAGACTAGCCTCTGATCCATGGCCTCAGCCCCTGTGTCTGCTCCTACTGCTCATGAAACAACTTTTTAGTGAAAGCTAGTCATGGCACAGAACTTGTAGCTTAGTAACCAGCAATTAGCTCTTTAAATTAAGTGGACACTTAAGTTATAAACCAAATAATAGTTTCTGATTTTGTTGTTTTTTCTAAGAAGTAGTTTGACATTGTCTAAAATTATCTCTTCAGATATGTTTATGAAAGGTGCATGCACCACAGCTAATGTTTACAACAGAGAAAGGAAAGAAATAACAACTCATTTAATTTCTCTAATTTTATGATTATATTCTCAGTGAAATTGTTTAATAAGATTGTTAATCATTGACTACTTACCCTGCTTTATTGGTGTGAAAAATTTCTTATAAATTCATAAATTGGTATATCTACACTCATATATTAATAACCTTAATGAAGATAAATGACCTGTTCACTAATAAGCTGAACAGAAAAGCATTGTCTTCACATTTTTCTTCACAATGGACAGATCTTTATTAATTGCCAGACATATGTAGTACATATGTAGATAAGTATTTTAAAAAGTCAACGATTTTAGAGATTATAACATTATATATAATATTGAGCAGAGAAAACAAGTGTATTTAAAGTTTTTAAGTGTAAATTAGTTGTCATGATTATCCTCACAGCTTTTAGGATTACATTCCTGAAAGGTGTTATATTTATTTATTTTTAGTATGTCAAGTGTATTTGTTATTTTCATTACTTACAACAAGTAAAGATTGAAGGATGTATATTAATGTTTGTATATATTGCAATGTGGGTCCAGTTAACCTAGTTTGTTACTGTTGGCTAGTCATGTTGATCAGATTACAGATAGGAAGTCCAGATACCATTTTCAACAAAATTTCAGGTATAGCCTATATTTTGGAATGTTAGAGCTGCTAGTAGGAAGAGATTAGATCATTCACCACAGCCTCTTTATTTTATAACTTGTCCAAGGTTAGGTAGCTAATTAATGGAAGAACTGAGACTGAGGTCTTAAAATTTACTTCTAACTTATTATGTGTTAGCTATCGCTCTCCATTCCTCCATTGCCATATCTCCCTCCCTCTGTTGTCTCTCTTGTCTGAGGAATATTCCTTGCTACCCTTGAGGAGATAGAATAGTCAAGGAAATCAGGGCAATTTTGCCTGACCAGATCTTTGTGCAAAGTCATCTTTATGTGAAGTCATTTCTTAGTATATAGTTTTTTCCCTTGGCAGCTGGCAATTCTCTCCAGTAATCTGGAAGGGAAGTGCTAGTACCATGTCAGCCTCATCTTAGATATAGATCCACAAGGAGATTCTGTCCCCTTCCATTCCAGTCTTCCCCAGATTAAACAAACTCACTAACAATAAAGATTTACATTGTGGGTCAAGTAAATCAAATAGAAAGACAGGGAGTTTTAACTAATGATCCCTCTCCTTATATCGTACAATGTGGAAAAGAGATAAGGGTCACAGTTTTCAGTTTTGAGGTGAGGATATCCTTCCCTGTCTTGCTCCCTGTTCTGCATCTCTCTGGGCTTCCTCCTCAAGGCCCTCTTCAAGGCCCCTTTAGTTTTTGGTGTACTCACCTACCTGTTTGTTATATTGCATCCCTCCCCTCAAAAAAAGTCGGGCCTTGGGTCCTTATTTGTCTTGACACTTGGCAAGATGCTGGTGGAAAGTTTTCTCTTTAATCTTTGCCTGCTTTGAAAGAGGAAGGGGCAGGCTCTGCTTCTAGGAGTGGGATTATCATTAAGAGTTGTGATTTCAGTTCATTCTCTTCACAGAAGAAAGTTGTACTACAACTCCTAGCAAATATCCTAAGAGCAAATACAGATCATCATAGTAAATATTAATTTGCTTTCAAAGATAACACAATCTAGCTTCACATGAGAAAAGCTAGTTCTTAACATCATTTTGACCTTATTCTTTGTGAAATAACACTGGCATTATTGTACTAAAGTATTTTTGTAAAAATAATTTCATGAATTTACTTAAATTAGAACGTTTTCATCCCCTCCTTCTACATTACCCAAGAATGAGTTTGTCTCAGCCATTCTCTAAGATAGGCATCCGCTCAAAATAAGTTCTTTCTCATATCCAAATCTCTCTCCAATATACTTCAACAATTACTTAGAATTAGAGGGAGGTCGCTCTAACTCCCAGGTTCATAAATTACGTAGAAGTATTTTCTATCTGCTGTTTGCTACATATGTTAGGTGCTGCAGATACGGTGTTGAAGAAGATACATATGATTCTTACTAGAGATTGCTATCCCTTGAGCGAGCCCTATAATTAAATAAGAAATCTGAATTTAATGTGATAACTGTTTTGATAGGGGAAAAGGAACTCCTCTTGGTATATCGTTTCTGATGTATATCTTCATCATCTTTTCCACTGGATCTTCCTTTCTCTCAGCCTGCAAGTATACTTGTTACTTTTTTTTTTAAATGCCTCCATTGATACTTAGTCCCCTTAAAACTTCCATTTCTCCTTTCTTTAGTTCTAAAGTTCTTGAAAGAGTGGTTTATAATATTCTGATCATCTACTCATCTATAATCTCATTACAGTCTGACTCACTTTCCTTATTGACATAACTCTTTTGAAAGTCACCAGATTCATTTCTCATTTTTTCATTCCTTATCCTGTTTGATCTCATTTTACTCTGAACCATCCCTCTTCCTTCTCAGGCCTTTTCATTCTCTCCTATTGAATTCTTCTGGCTCCTCTGTCATTCTCTCTAGTATTTTTCTTTCTCTTTATCTCCACATGTAGATAATTTTCCAAGGATTTTTATGGTGTGCACATCTTCTGCAAACTCATTTCTTCAGGTGTCATTTCTTTGCCTAAGATTCTCTAGATGGGGTAAAGGCGGTTAAATTTAGGGTGAGGGTAAAGTGGGTAAAGAGGATCAAATATATGGTAGCTGAAGGAAACTGGACTTCGGGTGGTAAACACACAATAGAATATACAGATGTCAAATAATAATGTATACCTGAAAATTATATAATGTATTAACTAATGTTACCCCAATAAACTTAATTAAAAATTTTTAAAAATACATTAAAAAAAAGAAAAGAACTTTGTAATATATAAAGTACAAGATTGCTTTATTATTAAGTATTGTATCCCCTGTACTGGCTTCTCTCCTAAACTCTTAGCTTTGCATTTCTTACTGCTTCCCTAAGTCCTTTCTTCTCTGTTCTTACTGCTCCTAATTTCATTCAGATTCTCATTAACTTCCCTGACTGTTCCAGAAGCTGCTGAGATTTTTCTAACTTAATTCTCTTTTTTCTCTAAATCTGTTTTACATACTGTTTCCATACTACTTTGGAACAAAGTTCTACTGTCTTAACCTGGTATTCAAGGCCTTTCATGATCTGACCTCAGCTTACGTATTCAGCTTTATTTTCCTTTCACTTTTTTCCCCATGTATCTCTCTACGCTTCAGTCATACGCCTCTCTGCTAATATATCCAAAAGGTGATAATGTGTTCTTTTGTGTGCCGAAGACATTTTACTGATGGCATGTATGCTTTGGAAATATTAGCATCTTCACATAAGGCCATATTCATATGATAAAGATAAAGGTAAAATATGTATGATAAAAGTAGAACATTAAGTCTGTCTTTTAGAAACAAGCTGTTTAATAGATGGCCATAGAGTGATTCTTTTTCCCCGGGAGCATTTAAAAATGCACAAAGGTCTATATGCTACCGTATTGTAGAGGAGAAAAGCTAGCAATTCAACAGTGCTCTGGAAATATCCACATTAATTCCTTTGTCATTTAGTAAGTTAGATTTTTATTTCTGTCATGTGAAAATACCTTTTTCTTTTCATTTAACTGACCATTATGTTTAATTTCAGGCTCTTGATGGTTTTTTTTTAGCAATCATGACAGATGGAAATATAATATATGTGTCTGAGAGTGTAACTTCATTACTTGAACATTTACCAGTAAGTATAAAAATCTTGTGCCTTCTTTCTTAATGTCTGTTTTAAATGTTCCGAAGCACTAGGAAGTTTACCTCCAGAGCAGTGTCGTACAGTGAGTAGAGTGGGGAGGAAAGCTCTAAATAGGTCTATGTTTTCTCAGGTCAATCATGACTCCCTAATCTGTAGTAACTAAATATTCAGTGACCGCTTTATCTAACCTCTGTTCTTACTGCTCCCTTTTTTCTAATGCTGACTTTTTAGTGTTTCCTTTTTAATCAGCCTGGTGAAGATGTTGCTGAATCACTGAGAATATCTGGAAAATCATTAAATTTCTATGGAGATGCTTGTTGCAGCTAGAACAACTCACAGTTTTCTCAAAAGAATGACTTATAAGGACACACGAAAAAAAAAGGATACAGAACTTTTGTGCTCTCTGGCTTGAATTGATAACGTGATAATGGCCATATTCAATTTGTTATCAATATGACAGAAAGGATACAGAATTAGAATTATATGTTATAATTTTGATTAGGATGATGAATACCTTAATTATGTGTGTTGTTTTACTCTACGTAATTTATTGAACATCTCCTGTGTGCCAGACACTATGCTAGGAGCTCTGCTTCAATTAACAATTTTTATGAATTCGGAGTTTTTATTTAATATATAATGTTCTTATCTAAGATGTGGTTTATGGTATAAATACTCTAAAGGACTTAAAAATAACACTTAAAATGCCTGTCTCTTGAAAATTTATAATACAAAGTAACTTGTTTTATAAAGGTCTCTTTCAAGAGAATTGAAAAGCAATATTTTCCTCCCTTTGATTACTCTGCCACTTCATACTTTGTATAGAGAATGGACTCTGCATTTAAAAGGCCAAATTCTAAAAGGGTAATTTCTTACTGAAAGCCAGGTGGTAAATAATTTGGTAATTTCTTTGGCTCACAGAGAAAATGACTTGGCTTTACTGCTTTTCTAGGGACTTCCTTTAACAGTAAGCTCAAATAGTAGGTGATTAGCCCAACATATAAAAATTGTTTGAGAGTAAACAAAGAGATTATAGCAACATTTAAGTAAACTAATGTGGGCAGAGAAAAGGACAGACTATTAACTGAATTTTCTGGGCAACTCTTTAAGGAATATATTTACATATTGAAAAAAGCTAGGAAAAGAAACCCATTATAGGATTAACATACGATTAAGATAAGATTAAATAATTTAAGTAAAAGTGTAGTTATAAGGTTTTAAACAATATACAGTTGTATTGGTTTTTTTTTTTCAGTTGTGTATTTATAGAAACTAATTTTTTAATTAAAAAAATTTTTTTTAAAATTTAGTTGTAATCAAAGCATCATTTGCAGTATGGTCACACTTTTTAAAAGCCTGCTGCTTGGGCACTTTATTTGAATGCCATTCAGAATTAGATGCCCTTCCTCTCTATTCTGTTACCTTATATATACTGCCATCATGACAGTACATAAAGTGAATTGTAATTTTTTTGTTTATTTGGATAATTATAGTAGGTCTAAGCTTCTTAAGTGCAGAGACTTTGTATTCACATGGACTAGCTAGTGTCTCAGAGACATTCAGTAATTACTTGTTGAATGTACGAAAATGAGTAGGCTATTTGATGTGGCTGTTTTAAAAATTCCCTCCTAATGGCACATTGGTATTAGATCGTTAGTGAGGAAGAGGTTAATTGCTTTTTGAAACAGACAACATGTGACAGATCTAGTTGGGACCCAAGTGTTTGATCATTAATATTCCCCCTTCAATGAAAACCCTCTTCACCTTCCCATTCCTTCCTGTATTTCTTTTAACTTTCCATTTTAAAACTGTTTTTATTTCATTTTATTTATTTATTGGGGTGACATGGTTAATAAAATTATAAAAGTATACAGAACTGTTTTTAGATTTACAGAAAAATCGAAAAGATATTACAGAGAATTCCCATATGCCGCATATCCAGTTTCTTTTGTTATTAACGTCTTCTGCATCTTTTTTCTGTTTGTGTCAGCTAAAGCAGTAGTAGACTGGCAGGTGAATTTTTTGGGCAGAGGAGATCGGTGCTTATCTAACAGACCCATTTCATTCCATACTGAGTTAATAGTATTCTTTATTAATACAATTTTTTTAGCTGCTTATCAGTTACTACAGACATTTTCCTTCACATCACTGACATTGCTGACATATTATTCGATGGTTTGAAAACAAACAGAAGCATTTTTAGAGAAAATGAAATATTGAGGATCCAAACACCTAAGGAAAAAATGTATAATTTTCTGTTTTGGTTTGTCAATAATTAAACTATAACAGATACTAAACAAAGAGTTTGAAATAATGATGTCCTTTTCTTTGTGTTTTAATATATATACCTATTTTGTCTAAAATAGAATTTTCGCTTTTGTTCAGAAGGGAAGGAATATTAGCAAATCCCTAAATTTGGCTTTATGTTTATATGTAATTCATTTCTGTTGAGAAATTAATACTTGCTTCTTAATCATTGGTCAGTATGACTTAAAATTTTTTAAATTTAAGATTTAAATCTAACTATAAAATTATAAAACTGATACTATAAATCCTGCAAAAAAACGTTTTCTTCATATTTATGAAATTAAGTTAAGCACATTTTAACCTATTAGGATCTAACAATCAGGCATAAATGCTTTATTTATTTTGAGATTGTAAAGTAACCATATGCTTTTTTTTCCTCCTGATCTGGCTCTCTGTGACAAAATTACTGGGTCATACCATCACAGTGCCAGAAGAAATTTTAGACATCCTTAGCTCAGCCCTTTTATGTTATCAGCAAGGAACATGAAACACAGAGGAATTGGACTTAATAGTGCAACATTTTTTGTGGAACTGCCAAGACACAAAGTTCGTCTCTTATTCTGCAAACTTAACATTTGTAAAATTTTACAACTTAAGATTGATATTCTTACACTTGCTTAAATGTATTCCTCAGAGAGAGTATATTAAATTTTTAACCAAGTAATAAAGGGAAGATAATTAACCACATTACAGCTTAAAGGAGTCCAAGACTAAAAGTGCCACCATTAAGATACTAGATGAGCCTTTTCTACTCTCCTTGATAGTTTGGAAATGTAAACACAAATGTGTTTTAAGAAAGTCAGTACAATCTTTGTCTGCTATAAATGCAGTTTGCAAAAATAAAATTTAGAATTTTTTGAATAGTTACATGGTTATGAAAGCTTATTTGATAGGGCCAGAATTTTTGTTTCTTATGCCTATACACAAGGAATACAGTTATTTAAAAACATGTTATAGTCAATGTATATTTGACATTTTTCTGTGGAAGAGATACTCTTGACGGCAGTTATCTGTCAATTGTCTACCTAAGGCAAAAGTAACTGGTAAAAATCATTTTCACAAATGGTCACATTGACCTAATGTAGAAAAAAACAGAAAGACTGTTGATTTATTTTATATAACTAAGTCAGGATTTACATTTCTTCTTCATGAAAATGATTGAGAGAGAGAAAAGGACCTAGGTAGCTGCTGTTTTGTTTTCTTTCCTTTGAATTGTGTTTGGAAACTAAGTGGATGGTATGGCAATATCAAGGATGATTATTTTCATTTAGAGATTTTAAATGTAGTGGTTAATGGAAAATTTGATACATTAGTTAATTAGTTGCCTGCTAACTGATATTTCAGATTATGAAGTGTCAGGAGAAGCAGAATGGCCATCTTATTTACTATTGGGTATTAAGACAGATATTAAAATAGAATTAACAGAAATATTTTTTATGAGAAATGAATGATATGAGTAATAGGTACTAAAAGAATTTTATTATTTTGACTGTGGATTATGGTGGTAAGAGAATACTTTTTTGAAGGAAATAATTTGAACTGGTCTTTCAAAGTTGGAGGATGCAGATATGTAGAGAAAGAGGAAGGATATTCTGCTTCATGAGGTGGACTTTGAGGGCTAGAGAAAAGAAGAAAGAATGTAAATGTATGGCCTGTATAGGGAGTATAGTAAAACACACTTTTCGCACCTCCCACCTCCCCAGTGGCTCTCTCTTTTGTTACTGTTTGATTTTTTGTTTTGGTTTTAGTTTTTAAGCCGTAGAGCTCTTTCTTCAAACAAAATCTTAACAGTGTTTGAAATATAAAAAAATAAAAATGGAACTGCTTTTTTGAATATGGGAGAAGGACCCATATTCTTCCCCTCCACGGTCTTTGAAGTACCACCTCAGTATCCTTAGGATTCCGCAGAGCAGTTTAAAAATTTAGAGTAACCAACTAGAATAGATTAGATTTGGTAGAAAATGTGAAGTCACTGAAGTTTTATTGTCAGTGATTCTTAAGGATAGGAACTATCTTACTCATCTTTGATTCCACCGCCACATTGTAAGCAACCCGTTGGTCAGATTACTGTTGATTAATGAATCATAATTAAAGCCATATTTGAGCAAGGATTATAATGTTTGACATATTACTTGCTCTTTTTTTTAGGAGGCGAGATTAACACAGGGCTTTCTGACAATGGGATACAGGATAGATGGCTGGAAAAGATGAAATAAAAAAGATAGGGCACATCGGACAATTGAAATAACACCAAAGTCAAGTTTCCTGTTCACTTAGCCTATGGCTAGTCCTTTGTTCCTCTGTGTTAGTGTATATATCACCATAATTTACCAGAGGTTTGGATATATGGTAGGGCAATGTTTTATAGCCAAAGATTTTCCTAATCAACTTTGAGTCCTGTTATAGTTTAAATGTTCACGTTTGGTGAAATTCGCCTTAGCAGATATTTTATCAGACTTTCAGGATCATATTGGATCTGGATCATGGATTTAAAGAGACTAGTGTCAGAGGCATGGAGGTCATGTTAACCGTTGTCCACCTTCTTACTCTTGTTTTTTGAGTTGTGCTCTGTAGCTTGACATTTGTCAGCTTTTACAATTATCAAAAGTTGGTCATATGCTCATCTGATGTTTTAAGAGTAATTATATACTTTTAAAATACATGTCTCTTGAATCACTAAAATTATTTTCTTGAATTTCTTTTTCAGTCCGATCTTGTGGATCAAAGTATCTTTAATTTTATCCCAGAGGGGGAACATTCAGAGGTTTATAAAATACTCTCCACCCATCTGCTGGAAAGAGACTCATTAACCCCCGAATATTTAAAGTGTAAGTAGCAGCTGTTAAGCAAAAAACTAAATGTACTTGGTTGTGTTATACATTACTTTTGTAAGTTTGTGACAGACATATGTAACTAAATTAACACATAGCATCATATGCTTTATTTGAACCTTTTTAGATTTAAATATAGATAATAGAATTATGACCTTATTAAAAGTCTGGACTCTATTCCAGAGTATATTGAAATCCCATCTCTTTAATTATACCATTTACATAAAAATGGAACTTTGCAACATTTTTATTAAATAAAATTTTGTATAATGAGAGAAAATTAAACATTCTCACTTTCACTCTAACAATTGGACACTGAAGCAGTGGGAAAAAATAACTTCTATATTTTTAAGAATTGTTATAAATAAAAGAAATTGTTTTTTTTATTAATTAAACTGAATTAAACAATCATTTATTGGATGTGTTGATTGTCCCAGGCACTTGTGCTATATTATAGAAGTGCCAAAAATAGTGAAAAATAGTTTCTGCCTTCAAGAAGATGAAATATTATGTTATAATCAGATATTTCTCCCAGATTCATTGGAAAAATTAATTTGACCAGAATACCTCATTTTCTCCACTGAATTATCTGTGTAAAATCTGAAATTACAAGACTATATCTGGCCATTAATTATTAGATATTTTCTTTAATAAATTAGTCATCTGAAAAGTTCTTTGTATTTTGAACCCTCAAATTCTCTAAAACGCTGACTATCCAAGAATTGAGATACATACACAAATGCACACACATATATAAATATATATGTATAAGTATGTGTGAATGTATCTCTTGATAAGAATGGATAACTCAAAATTGAATATCAGCTCTGAAAAATAAAAATTAAAAAAAAAAAAAAATGGATAGCCTGTCAGAAGGAGTTGAGAAGAGCTAGAGATCAGGAGAATCGATTTAAAGCCTATTTATAATGTTTAAAAATCAGATTCTTATGACATTTCCCATAGACCACTCTAGTCTTTCACCTAGGGAGAAAGATTTGGGCTGGATATAATGATGTAGAGATCAGTTACATGCCTATAAGTAGCATTTGAAGTCATGGATTGTATGACATTGCGTAAGGTGAATATATAGAACAGGGAAAGAAAAATTAGAAAGGTGGAACCCTGGGACATAGCAAAAGGTAGACAAAAGAGAGAAGGAATACTCTTTAGAGACCTTCTAAGGGCAGAATTGGCTGGAGAACTGAATGAAAGCTTCTGGCAGAAAGACTTTAGACTTCTGCTTTCAAAGGTGAGAATTACAGCAGTATTTTTTGATACAGAAAAGCCTTAATTAAATGATATGCTGACCTTCTAATAAACAGCTGATAGACAAAATGTTATTACCCCAGAAAAAACATGTGTCATGCCAAAGGAGTAAACATAATTTAAAACAGAGGGGAAATTGCTTAGGAAATTCAGGCTTCTGCATGTAAGTCATTTGAGCCATAATGAAGGTGAGGTGGTACAGGTAGTATGAGAAGGAAACAGGGCCTAATATTTCATCCTAAGGAGTTTGAGTTTTATTTTTTACATAGTAAGGAACCAGTGAAAGGGTGGTTTACTGACCTGAAAAAAAAAAATCTCTTAGATTGTCAATTTTGAAAAGGACCAGGCTAGAGATAGAAGTGAATACTATATAATTCTAGCAATAGACGTAAGTATGGAGAGGAAAACATGTAGGTGAGTGTTGAGTAGATAAACTCAATAGGACTTGGTGTTAGGCACAGGTGACCAAGTGGCTAGGGATCATTAGTGGAGAAGGTTTTAGAAAGAAGGTAGATTTTAAACCTGTTAACTTACATGATATAAAGTCATTCACAATAATAACAGAAAAGTGTATGAGTTCAGTGCTGTGAGTGAAGAAAGGCGTTCCTAGTCCTTGAATGTTGAAATGATAATGATGAAAGTAACATTAGTCTAAGAGTAGTAAGGAAAGTTGACTCCTAGTGTGGCGGTATGTAGAATACATCTTTGCAGTTAACCTAGATGCAAGGTAATTTGCATCTAAATTGGTGATACCGGATACTCAGTTGGAAAAAATGCCTTATGAGAGCGTCCTTGGTGGAATAAATAGCATGTGCTGGTGACTGATTAGTTTGGGGGCTTGTGATAAGAGACGAGACCCAGTTGATATGGTTTCTATCTTGGCCGTTAGGCACACATGGGACAAAGGGGAAGGACAGCGGGCTCGCTAAGAAAGAGGGATAAATTCACTTGGAAATATTTTGAGTTTGAGTTACTGATGGGACAATCAAGTTAGAAGTGTCCTGAAAACAAATAGTGATCTGAGACTTTTGTCTTACATAAAATGTTAGAGTTGGAGAGAGATTTAGGAGTAAGTTTAAGAAATACTGATAAATTTATAAAGACTAGAAGATCAGGATCAGAAGAACTTTTGTGAATGCCCATAGTTTGAAGACCGATTGGCAGAAGAGATAAAAATATTCAATAAGGTAGGAAGGTAAGTTTCATGCTATAGGAATGGAGAAGTATGAATTTTGAGAAGTATGAATTTCCTCATTATGAACAATGAGGAAAGCCCACTTAAGTTAACAATACTGTAGTACCTCCTTATCCTTAGTTTCAAAAAAATTAAATGGAAAATTTCAGAAATAATTCATAAGTTTTAAATTGCATGCCATTCTGAATAGTGTAATGAAATCTGGCCTGTCCTCCTCTTTCACACCTAGTATGTGAATCGTGTTTGTCCAGTGTATCTATCTGCTCTGTACATACAGTATGATAAGGTATTTTGAGAGAGAGAGAGAGACCACGTTCACATAACTTTTCTTACAGTATATTGTTATACAGGCATACTTTGGAGATATTGAGAGTTCGGTTCCAGACCACCGCAATAAAATGGTTGAGTATTACAGTAAAGCGAGTATCACAATAAAGTGAGTTTTAATCTTTTTGCTGGTGGTAAGGCTTACCTTCAGTTTGTAAAAAACTCAAGTCCGTGAAGCACAATAAGGCAAAGCATAATAAAATAAGGTATGCCATAATCGTTCTTTTATTAGTAGTTGTTAATCTCTTATTATGCCTAATTTGTAAATTATACCTTATAGGTATGTATGTATGTACTGGAAAAAAACACAGTATATATAGGGTTTGGTACTGTCTCCGGTTTCAGGCTTCCACGGGGGTTTTGGAACATTATCTCCTGTGGATAAGGGGGGACTACTGTGCAAACAAATGTTGGTGATGTTTAAAGGAACAATTTCTATAGAGGTATGAAGACGAAAGTCACAGTATACAAAGTTAAGGGAAATGAGTATATGGAAACTAGAGCATGTAATGAAAAGGAAGATATAGTCTATGGTATTAAAAAGAGTAACATGAAAAACGCTTTATTTGTTTGAAATGGGAAGACCTGAGCAAATGTAAAAGGAAATAAGGACATAAGGAAGAGGAGGTTTGGATGCTAAAGGAATAAATAAATGTTATGTCCCTGATCCTAGAGAAGATAGGAAAGGCTGTTTAGTGCAAATTAGAAGCATTAACTTTAGAATGGGAAGCAGAACCTTTCTTTGAAATTAGAGTGAAGAATGAGAAGGAAGGACAGATAAAAATGGGGAAACATGGAGTTGCTTGTATAAGAAGATCTGTTTTCTCTATTAAGGCCAAGATGAGATCAACTCCTAGAGGTATTCTGCTATTATGGACTAAATAAAGTGTCATTGAGGACTTCTGTGGGAGAAAATAATGATTGTAAACTTATAAGGCTTTTATAATCTTATTTCATGTGATATATTACTCATGATAAATCACGAATATATCATATTTTTTTCTCATTTCAGCAAAAAACCAGTTAGAATTCTGTTGTCATATGCTTCGAGGAACAATAGACCCAAAGGAGCCGTCTACCTATGAATATGTGAAATTTATAGGGAATTTCAAATCTTTAAACAATGGTGAGTTAAAATGCTTCTCTTACAATATGTTTTAACCTGGCATTCTTTTAAGCTGTTAAAGACATAGATGTTGAACATCAATAAAAACTAGATTTTACTGGAGTAACTGATAATACATGTTTCCTTGTTGTTTTAGTATCCACTTCAACACACAATGGTTTTGAAGGAACTATACAACGCACACACAGGCCTTCTTACGAAGACAGAGTTTGTTTTGTAGCTACTGTCAGGTTAGCTACACCTCAGTTCATTAAGGTATGTTTCTAATTTTTTTTTCCTAAGGGGGATTTATTATGAGAACGTTCTTTATGTAATTTTCTGGTTGTTTCCAGAATAACAGACTTCTTGCAGACATTAAAGGGAGTGATGGCCATGCGTCTTTAAATACATACTATCATGATTTAAAAAAATTTTTTAATTGGAGTTGACATTTAAAAAAAAATACAGCAATTTTAATATGTTTTAGTAAGTAACACATTTATACGATACAAAAATAAAAAGGTGCCAAAGGGCTTAGAGTAAAAATCTTCCTCCTTCCTCTGTCCAGTTTCTTCCCAAGGACAAATAGTATTTTTAGTTTCTTATGTATCCTCCAGAGATATTTTGTAATCATACCAGCAAAAGTATATATATTCTCCTCTTCGAATTTGAAACATTCAGAAAAGTTGAGAGAATAATATAATGAATGCCTAAATCTGCCTCTCAGATTCAGTAGTTATTAACATTTTGCCATATTTATCTGTATATGTGATGAATGCATGTGTATTTATTATGGTGACACTGGTTAACGAAATCCAGTGAGTTTCAGGTGTACAATTCAACAGTAAGGCATATGTATTGCATATGTGTTGACCAATGTTTGACCCCTTTTACCCCATCTACCTCTTCCCCCACCCCTGGTAACCACTAGGACATTTAATATTTTGTATTAGTTTCAGTTGTACACCATAGTGGTTAGACATTTATATAATTTATGAAGTTGTCCCTCCGTTAGTCTAGTACCAACCTGCCACTAGACATAGTTATTATAATATTATTATTATTATTATTAAGGCTATACTGTACATCTCCACGACTGTTTTGTAACTATCGATTTGTACTTTTTAATCTCTTCCTCTTTTTTACCCAACCCTCTAACTCCCTTCCCATCTGGTGACCATCAAAATGTTCTCTCTTTCTATGAGTTTGTTTCTGTTTTGTTCGTTCATTTATTTTGTTCTCTAGATTTCACATAAAAGTGAAATCATATAGTATTTGTCTTTCTCTGTCTGACTTACTCCATTCAGCACAATATCCTCTAGGTCCATCCATGTTGTTGCCAATGGCAAGAGTTCATTCTTTTTTTTTTACGGCTGAGC